CTGCAGGAGAGCCCCGCGCAGCACGCACAAGGTCCTGAGGCTTCTTTACGGTTCTCTGATTTGCCCGACCGGAAGGACCGGTACTATAACTGCAAGCCCAGGAGAGCTGCGGTGATGGCGGGGCCCTGGTTCCAGAGGTCACTGTTATCAGCGCCGTCCCCCACTGAGCTCAGGACTTCTGCAAGCTCCCTGAGGCCTGGCGGTTTCCTTTCCTTCTCCGTGCACAGGTGGCTGCGCAGGGACACGGGGGGGGGGAAGGGGAGCCCTACGGGTGCTGCCTGGACTCCAGCCATGAGCTCGCATCCTCTCCTCCTCTCCAGCTGGGACTTCAGGAATCGGTCAGCGTCCCCTCTGCTCCCTCCCGGCCCTGACCGCGGCCCGTAAGTCTGTGTCTCTGGGATGCGGCCACCTGCCTGGTCCTTGCCTCTCTCCTCTCCTCTCTCCCTCATCTACAAACCTTTGTTCTCCAGTTTAGGACATTAGTTTGCTTTGCTTTCGTTTAGTTTTCTTCTGAGACGTGAAAGTTGTGGTCTTATAAAAGATCTCCTGCCACACCAAGGGACTCTTGTGCTCCTTTTACACCAAGCTAGGAAGAGATTCCTTCTTGTCCCTGTGCTTTCTTTGCTATAAGATCTTTCGTTCTTAAAATGAAAAAAAGGGTCTGGGATTTAGTTCAGCGGCTTTGGCACCTGTCTTGCAAGAGCAAGGACCCGAGTTCGATCCCTGGTATCAGAAGAGTGGTGAAAGTAAAAAGCAATGCTTGGTCGCTCTTCTCGCGATTCAGCGCTGCACAGAAGGAAAGACCAGCACCACTGCTGAGGCTCCCAGGTGGGGGATTTCAGGCGCTTCGCCTCCGTGCAGCAGCGCATGCGCCCTGGCAGTAGGGCGGGCCGCTGGAGAGACACTTCTGAGTGTGACTATTTGGTTTGGTTCTAGCAATACGAGTTTATATGAAGCTGTTACTTTACTGTGAAAAAAATCTAGACACAGAGAGAGTAACATTTGGATTATTTTTTTACATTCAGAAACCTGTATGACAGGAAGACACATTACTTTTTTCTTCCAAGAAAAGAGGCACGCTAAAAGCACCTTTGTAGTTTTAACTTTCATCTTGGAATATGTTGACATTAGTATGTATAATGAATTATGTATTAATCATTATAATAAACTACTATTTGTCTAGTAATAGTTGCTTACGCTTGTTAAGTGCCTACTATGTGTCAGATACTAAGACACCTTTATTAATCTATTTTTGGTACTGGGGATTGAACCTGGGACCTTGCACTTGCAAGGCAGGCAGCAGAACCACCGAGCTAAATCCCTGGCCCAAGACAGGGATTATTTATTTAATCATCATTAAAACTCTCACTTATTTCCATACTGTGGATTGAACTCAAGAACTCGCACTTGCTAGGCAGGTGGCAGAACCACTGAGCTAAATCCCTGGCCCTCAGACATATATTTTTACACTGACTTCCAGGTAAGGAAAGTGAGGCAGAGGCAAAGTAATTTGTCCTTGTCCAAACTCCAGGAGTCTGACAGCAGGGTAGACATGCTAGACCTTCCTCCTAGTTAGGAGGAATGTTCCATGGTAATAAGAGGAGCTTATGGCAGAAGAGGGGTGATTCTTGCCATGATACGCTACAGGCCGACTGTAAGTTAGACCAGAAGGGACATTTTAATGTGAATTTCCCATTGTGACGCATCAGTGTACAGCTGGGACATGAGACCAGGCCAGAGATTTTGGCTCTTTCACTTATCAAGGGACCCATGAGCTTTGCCCTGAGTTGACCCAAGTCTTCAAGGAACCACAGCAAATATAAACACAATTGAAGGACGTAAGAAATTAACTTTTGCTTGTTTTTTGAGACAGGGTCTCACTATGTAGTCGAGACTGCTCTGTAACTATGTAGCCCAGACTGGTCTGGAACTCACAGCGATCCTCCTGCCTCAGCTTCCCGAGTGCCTGGATTAGAAATTAACTTTTTACTTTAATTTTAACGTGCTGAAATTAAGTACATGGAGACATGATGCAGAATCTTCTTAAAGACACCTGTAAATGAAATCTCTCATTAACACTACCTTACAAACTTCCCAACACCATTAGTATTCCATATAACTCATGCAAAACTATCGAGCACCTACGAGGTGGCAAGAAATGCTAGATGTGCTGGGGATAAAGTTAATGAAAACAAGAGATGGGCCGGGGATTTGGCTCAGTGGTTCCGCCGCCTGCCTTGTAAGCGCAAGGACCAGAGTTCAATCCCCGGTACAAAAACAAAACAAACAAAAAGCACAGGGTCCTGAGTTTGATGCAAAAAAAAAGATTCTTGTCTGCATGGAGCTTAATTTTAGAGAGGAGATAGATGAAAGAAAGACTGAATAATTAGAGTATTACAAAATGAACACTCTGAGCTGGGCGTGGTGGCGCACGCCTGTAATCCTAGCACTTGGGAGGCTGAGGCAGGAGGATCACTGTGAGTCCAAGACCCGCCTGGGCTCCAGTGAGCTCAAGGCCAGCCTGGACTACATAGGGAGATCCTGTCTCCAAAAGAAAAACAAAGTGAACACTCCAGAAAAGTAACTTAGGGCCTCACTACAGGAATAGCACCCAAGTTATTTCTTCTCACTGTTCTTTTTCCTACTGCACAAAAAATGTGGGCTAAGTTAAAACCCAGTCTGAAGAAAAGCTGGACAGAAACCCAGAAGCTTCTGATTCAAGCTGGAAGCAGCGCTTCACTCTTCTGCAGCTGAAGCACCGGCTTCTCGCGTTTTTACCCCATTTTACTGTGCACCTATCCCTCCCTTAAACACCCTTTGACCTCTCCCTCACCATTTTTGTCACACTGACTCAACTCTGTTCTTTTACGCTCTTAAGAAGGGTCCCTGCCTTCAGTACGGCCACCGTGTGCTAAATGCAACTGTACCTTTCCTACAAAGCAGTAGTTACGTCACAGTTCTCCCGCTCGTTTGTAACATCCGGGCAGGGAAGGTTAAGCTCCTCCTGTCCTCAGCATTTGGAACTATGCTTGGCCTTTAGTAATTCAGGAAGCGACAGGGTCATAAAAAGAGTAAAGATTGGTTTTATGCACTTGGAACGACCCCCCATGATGAATGTACTACAAACATGTACTAATGAAAATTTGAAAAAATGAATCAAAAAATTTCCAGGTGTCCATGTGGACATACCTGTGTATGTACGTACCTTATGTATGCACTTTGGTAACCCTGGAACTCTGGGATTGGATGGAAGAATTAATCATATACTGTCATTGATTTATCCTGAAGTTTCCCTTTTTTTCCTGCTAATGGTGTCGCTAGTTATTGATGAGACAACAAGCATGTGGCAATTCACATAAAACTGGACAAGTTCTTTCACTATTATTTTACTGGGGATTTAACCCAGGGCCTTCATACTGAGCTACATCCCCAGCCCTTTATTATTTTTCCCCCAGAAACAGGGATGGAAATTAGGACTTTGTACTTGGCAGGGAGGTCTGGGGCCACTGAGGTAAATCCCAGGCCCTCGACTCAAGGTTATTTTATTGGTACCAGGGATCAAACTAGGATCCTTGTGCTTGCAAGGCAGGCGACGGAACTACTGAGCTACATCTGCTGGCCTTACTTTCAAATCAAATTTTGTTACCCCACTCCCTACCTCAAGCCCCTCCCCTCCCTACATACAAAAGCTGGTTCCATTCTTTCTGTTTTCTTTTCTTGTCCCTGCCGTCCTTTCCCCTGCCCCCTTGTTCCCCTTCCCATTTGAACACACTCTTCCTATTTTCCAATATCTATTGTACATTTCAGTCCTTATTTCCGCTTTAGGTTTCTCAGCCCAGAGAAACAATGCAGTATTTACATGTGCGTCTGATTTACTCCACTTAGTGTATGGTCTCAAGGTCCACCCATTTAGCTAGAAATGTCTGAAGCTCATCCTTATGACCCCAGCTTATTTTAAACCTGACAGACAGCATTTCTACGATTTTGCAGTGCTGGGGATTGAACCCAGGGCTTCAGGCATATTAGTGAAGAGCTCTCCCAGGGAGCTACACCCACAGCCAGTGGGTGACTCTAAAAGGGAATTTTTTGCATAACAAGAAGTTCACACTGTAAATGTATATACATTATTTCTTTCCAGTCTCATACCATGTTCCACATTACTGAAAAAAAGTTCAGAGAAATTGAGGGTCCTTCCCTCACAGCTTAGTATACGCTGTAGTCAGAACCTGAATCCATTGCTTTATTATTATTTTTAACAGTAACTTTACTGCTCATAAAAATCACAGGTCATTTAAAATTTAGAGTCGATGCAGGGGTCCCAGCACTAGGGAGGCTGAGACAGGAGCATCTCTGTGAGTTCGAGACCAGCCTGGGCTACATAGTGAGTCCCAGATCAGTCTCAACTACACAGTAAGTCCCTGTCTCAACCCCCACCAAAAAATTTACAGTAGAAACC